GGCTTGGTCCACGTTTAAAACGGCTTGGTCCACGTTTAAAACGGCTTGGTCCAAGTTTAAAACGGCTTGATCCAAGTTTAAAACAGCTTGGTCCAAGTTTAAAACAGCTTGGTCCAAGTCAGAAGCTGGAACTAGTCGATTTTTGCTGATAAAAATAAAGTTCAGCATTCCCTGAAGTATTGCCTACATTTTATGCCAGAGTTTAAAACTAAAACAATGTTAAAAGGAGAGAAACTGTGTTTCCTGTAAAAATGCAGTGTGAACTAGGGGTGCACCGATAAATCGCCCTGAGTTCCCTAATTTTAGGAAATCAGAAACTGGCTGATACTTGCATGAGAAACCAATTTTACCATATTTTTTAGTTTAACAACAAATGTCTGAACTTCATTTATATTTCAGAGCACGACCTCATGGCCAGTTAAACACTTTTGTATTGTTTCTAAGAAAATGTTCAAGGGCACGTTTTTCAATAAAATAATATTGGAAAACTGAAGGTGTGTTGTGACCTGATAACACCTGACGGTGTCGCTTATGAAACTAAATCGGTATCGGGCAAAACCTGAATCGGCAGGTCAGATCTTTTACAACTCGGAGATCGGCCAGAAAACTGCAGTCGGTGCAGCCGTAGTGTGAACGCTTTTTATTAACAGTGATGAGTGTTGTCGTCACCGTATGTTGTCATCACCGTATGTTGTCGTCACCGTATGTTGTCGTCACCGTATGTTGTCGTTACCGTATGTTGTCGTCACCGTATGTTGTCGTCACCGTATGTTGTCGTCACCGTATGTTGCCATGACCGTATGTTGTCATCACCGTATGTTGTCATCACCGTATGTTGTCATCACCGTATGTTGTCATCACCGTATGTTGTCGTCACCGTATGTTGCCGTCACCGTATGTTGTCGTCACCGTATGTTGTCGTCACCGTATGTTGCCGTCACCGTATGTTGCCGTCACCGTATGTTGCCGTCACCGTATGTTGCCGTCACCGTGTGTTGTCATCACCGTGTGTTGTCATCACCGTGTGTTGTCATCACCGTATGTTCCCATGCAATAATGACATCAGTCTCTGCATTAGCCCTCTGCACCTGAGGTGCACCCAGGTGGAGCAGTGGACAGCTGTGGAAGTGCCCAGGGAGCAATTAGGAATTGGGTGTCTTGCTCAGAGACACCACGACGTGGGACTGGCTGGGTATCGAACCTGGGACTTTCAGGTCCTGCATCTACCCCATCTTGCTGAAGAACTTGCTGAAAAACAGCTGAAATGGAAGTCAGCAGAAGAAAGAAGAACACATATTTGTTGAATTAGGTTTAAATAAGCAGAAATTAGCACAAAAATAAGGAAATTAGCTAAAAAAAAAGCTGAAATAAAAAAGGTAACTGAAAAAGCAGAAAGAAGCTTAAACTATTAGAAGGAAGTGTAAGGAGCTGAAGCGAGCTCAAAGAAATGTGGCGTTAGCTGAAAAAGCACAATTTAGCACAAAACAGCTAAAAAGTTGTTGAAATAGCAGAAAAAGCTGAAATCAGCATAACAAGCTGAAAGTAGCAGAAATGACCAAGAACAACTTGAATTGAAAACTGCTGAAATTAGCTAAAAATGCTGTAACAAATGGGTGAGAAGGAGCTTAAATTGTCAGAAAGAAGCAGGACGCACTGAAAGCAGACATGAGCACTAAAGGTACCTGTAGCAGAACTGAAGACAGACAGAAGTGCATTGTGGCTGATGTTTTTTCTCCAAACACGATACAGGGGTTAACGTTTGCCCAGTAGTTCATGACATATTTTGCTAACGATGCAGATAACTGAACACACACATGCTGACACAGACTCTGGCAAAACGATGATGACCTCCGCTTCCGTTTTGACAGCGTGCAATTAAAACCGTGAGCTTGTGATGTTAAAATCTGGGATTAGGAAGCGCCTGACGTTAGAAGACACAGCTGTGGGAGTGTGTCGAACACGATGCCATAATGTCATTTAAGATTGTGATGTCAGGACGTACGATGGCTCATCTCCTGCTGTTTGCCTTCCTGCCTGGACAGACAGTTCAGAGTCGTGGAGTCTGAAGGAAACTCCAGACTCTGAACTGAAAGGTTGTTTCACTCTAACTTTCCTTTATCCTGCTGCTGCTCAATAATCCACGTAGGAAAATCTAACAAAGATGCGTCACATCCTCTGGACGGATTCTAAAAATTTTAAATTTGTTGAAACGTTTTGTCTTTTATCCAAAAGACTTCTTCAGTCTGAAGAGCTGCAACAAACTCAGTTTTATAAATATCACCTTCTCAGAGTGGATCACGCCTAACAATGGATCATTAGCACCTGATGGCTGTTTACTGTTCACAGAGGGCTGAGCGATACTAGCAATCACAGCATTGTAAGAGGGGGACAGTTGAACCCGGAGGCTCCACCCCTGTTTAATGATGGACGGTTTCTTTTCACAAAGATGGCCTCCTTTACTCCTCTCTCAAACCATCGTTCCTCTCTGTCCAGGATGTGCACATCTTCATCCCTGAAAGAGTGACCGCTGGCCTGGAGATGAGTGTAGACCTCAGAGTCCTGGCCTGATGATGTTGATCTTCTCTGCTGGGCCATCCTTTTGGCCAGTGGCTGTTTAGTTTCCCCGATGTAAGACTGAAGGGCTGGGATCATCGAGGAAACTAAAGAACATCATCAGTAAACGGGTGGAGGCCTCCGTGTTCACCTGTCCCGCCCTTACAGTGTTGTTGTTCAGAATCAGAATGCTGTTATTGTCATTGCACAGAAGCACAACAAAGTTACATTTCAGTTCAGCCCATCCAAAGACACAAAAAGACAAACTTGGGTAGACGGGTGTCTGAGGCTGCAGCCGTCATGGGAGGCGCTGCCCTTTTCCTTGGATGAGGGAAAGAGAAACACGAGGAGGTAAAACAATAAAATCACACTGTCCCGAACCCCTCAGCACAAAAATACAACATACAGGTGACATAAGACATGCATGTGGAGTGTGTGTGGGGGGGCTCCAGCTCAGGCTGGAGGGAGGCCAGCAAAGGTGGTGGTCTTTGTGAACAGCAAGCGTCCACCAGGACACTAATGAGCAGTTGTTAGACTGCTGGTCCTCCGTCATGAGCAGCTGGTTCTGGAGGTCAACAACAACAACCTGGTTGATCCATGACAAGGTGCTGTTTATAGACCTGAGCCTGTTGCAGCTCCTCACACTGAAGATTTGTTGGATTCAAATGCTTTTCATTTTAATCCATCCGGAGGACCTGACTCAACTTTGTTAGGTCTCAAGAAGCATTCAATGCATTTCAACTGAACTTTCAGAGAGTCGGACGTGTGTGCTGTTGCATCTAAACTAGGGGTGCGCAGATTATTAGCCCCCGCTTCCTTCATTTGGGTGATCGGCGCTCGGCCGATACATGAGAAACTAACGTGACTGGTTTTTTAGTTTTACCAACAACAGCCTGAACTTCATTTATATTTCAGAGCTCTACCTCATGACCAGTTAAAACCAGTTTGTCTTGTTCTAGGGTCTGTTGGTCAATAAAATGAGATGGAGAACTGAAGGTTCGCTGTGACGTTGTAACGCCTGACAGTGTTGATTATAAAACTAAATCAGAATCAGCAGGTCAGACTTTAGAGACCAGTGACGGGCCAGACCCCTCTCTAAACTCATTCAGTTCTGGAGTCAGACCCATTCAAGACAGCTGCTGCAGCTTACTGACATCAGGCAACACAAAAATGACCAGAGCTCAGTAAGGTTGCCTACACTGAGCTACAGTTGGATGTGGTAGTAGCTGAGAGTCATCCCCAACACATGCTCTGAGTGTCATCGTGCTATGTTGAACTCAAAGTTCATTGGTAAATGTGACCAAAATGGTTGATCTTAGTTTGCAGCTTTGACATGAAATGTAACGGACAGTATTCATCCCTTTAAGAAGTGTTATGTCTTTAATTACAGCTACTTATCAAATCACAGATCTTAAACAACGGATCTAATGCAGTAAATAGTTTCTGCAGTCGTTTTGTCTCTTTGTCACCTTTGTATCTTTTTGTCCAGGTTCTTTATGGAAAGGTCAATGTCCAGTCTTTTGACAAGCTGGAGAACAGTCTTCCTGTGCCCCCGCACTGCGACCCTCCCATGACTCCCTGGCAGGCGACCTTCGTGTGGCGCGCCGAGCGCCGCTTAGTTGTGGAGTACTCGGAGAACAGCGGGCCGTGCCTCCTCACTCCTGCGCGGGACAACCTCCATCAGATCGATGCAGTGGACGGCCCCGCTGCGTTCCTGGACATTCTGGCACCTCCTTATAATCCAGATGACGGGCGGGACTGTCACTATTACAAAGTTCTGCAAAGGGTGGCAGCAGAAGGAACAGGTACAGCATCCAACCAAGAGGAACAGAAAGAGAAAGAAAACGAGGCGTGGCTCCTTGAAATCCCTCAGCCAGAGGATTTCTGGTGCGGTGGGGAGCCCTACGCAGGCCCTGCAGTCGATGTCTGAGCGACGTCATGGACATGTATTATAATTCTCCACTGAATCTCCCTGCCTTCTTTCAGCGTTTAACAGTGAATTGCAGACAGCAGGACTCATTTTATGAAGCTCGGGTTGCCAGGTTGTATTTCTGAGACCAGTGTCAGCGTACTAGGATGGTGGGGCTTAAGGTCCCACCTACTCACCCACAGCAAGGAAAGAACTCCATGAATCAACAAGAGTGAGCGTCTGGGAAAATGATCCGTTTTTAATCATGTAAATGTGCTGTTTGTTCATGGGGGGAGGCACTTGTACTGGGACCATCCTATAGAGACTCCTATGTTCCTGGATGAGCTTCAGCTTCTGGGATCTTTTATGAAGTCCATCTTTAATACATGACAACGAGTGGTAGCTCCTGTACCGGTGGGTGACGAGGCAGAGTTTTCTTCCAGAGGGATACCAAGTATTTACCTGAGGAAAGTCTTTACCCTTTCACAGAACAAGCAGGACAGCCCTCTGTACGCAGCCTAGCTGTTCATGCATCACTAACTGAGCTGGCCAAGTCTCACCACAGTGGGAGGTGTTGGAAATGAACAAACCATGGAGTGTAACTCGGGGGTGTTGGTGTGGAGAACTACACAGAAACGTGTGTCGGACATCTTGCGTTTGATTGCACGTCTCGTCTGTCAGCCCTGTGTGAACTGTGCACGCCGTGGCGGCTCGCTCTCATGCATCAACCTTACAGCTCTCACTACTTCGCCTGGTGGCTCAGAAGCGTAACAGCAGCAGGTTGACTGGAACCCTCTGTGCTGCCTCAGGCCTTTCATTAGTCACATTGATCCCAGAAGGACTTGAAGCGCTTTATGAAAGGGACAGCTGTTGCCTGAAGACCAACAGGTATACCCTTCTGAACACCTTTCCAACTCCAGTCTAGTGTTAGTCTTCAAACCGTCATGTTGCCTTGTACACCAATGAATGTTTATTGGACCAATGTCTCTGCCGTGATCTATGAACCTCGGCTCATTGTTTCATCATATACTGTTATTCCTTGAAGGATCTCCTCGTTGTGGTGCAGCTTAATGCCAAAGCTTGTAACTCGAGGCCTTCTAGCCTCGTTTATTCCCATCAGGAACACTAGTTCTATTATAAACACTCTTCTTCTTGAAAGTGCACACACTTACCTGATTTTCTTTTTATGCTTTTAACTTATTCTAGATATGGTTTCTTAACCGGTCTGTTGTGTCGTAGAACAAAAGGCTGGTGCTCTGTGGCGTGCGGTCAGCATCATGACCACCACACACAGTACGAGTTGTTGTATCACAGGGCTACTAAAACCCCTGTATGGAGGAAATGTTTAGAAATTAAACGCTGATCAACACCTTCGACATTTCAAACTAAAACGACTTTATATTACACCTTTAAACGCTACCATTCCAGTCGTGTTGTTTGAGCGTAGCCTTAACTGGCCAGCCTCGACAGAACACAGGTGTAAGTGTGAGCAGTAATGATGTTTTAATGGTGGATGTATGTGAAACAATTAAACTTGTGAGGATGCACATGGACATTCCTTGTCCTTTGTCATTTTTCTTCTATCTGTCCATTTTTTGCTGGTTATCTGGGACCGGGCCGTGATGGCACCATCCTGACCACAAACCCTGATCAACTAAAATGTGTGTTCCACAAGGTTCCATTTTAGGACCTTTCTTTTTTATTCTTGTACAGTAGTCCCTCGTTTATCGCAGTGGTCATGTTCCACACCACCATGATGGGTGAAAAACCGCAGAGTAGGAACGCTATATTTATTTTAGTTTTTAGATGTTACGGCTTTATAAACCCTTCCCACACACTTGCAATGTTCTAAACAATGTTCTAAACTCTTAAACCTATGTAATTTTAACAACATACATATATGTGCTGTGCTGTACATACATGTATGTATGTACAGCACAGCACATATATGTACTGTACATACATACATGTACTTTACAGTACATACATGTATGTACAGTACATGTATGTACTGTACATGTATGTACAGTACATACATACATGTATGTACTGTACAGTACAGTACATGTACTGTACTGTACTGTACAGTACATGTACTGTACTGTACTGTACTGCAGCGTTTTATGTGGGTACTCAACAGCTCTGCAGACCAGCAGCTGCGGCTCGGCTCCGGTTCGACAGACCTACCCTGCAGCATCATGAAGCCTCGTCCAGGTTGATGTGTGCATGCTGCCGCTCCAGGAAGGACGCTGCACGTGAGGCTGCCCAGGATGTAGTCCATCACCTGGGCCAGGAATGTGGATCAGCACCGCAGCGACCAGAACCAGGCCGAACCCCACCACCGTCTGCATGTTGTGTTCGCTCCCTCCATTGCAGCCATTTCAGCAGAAAGCAGTGGCAGGAAGAACTGTTGGCTTCTGGGCCATGTAGTTCTTTTGACTTGCGTTACAGTATTGGCTTATTGAAAGAAAACTACAAAATGGCGACACCTGTCCGAAGTTGTTTTTATGTTTGTTTCTGATTTTTGCCCCATTGGTTGATTCCCACTCCCATCTGCTCCAGTTAACTCTATCCCGTAACGTCCCAGTCACGTGAGTAATATTAAAGTTCACAATCGTGTGTCGTGTGCAATCTTACGTTGAAAACTGTGAAAGAGTGAGTCCACCAAATAGAGCGGGACTACTGTATGATTCCCCTAGAAATGTCCTGATGCTGCTCGATAATCCAGGTAGATCAATCTAACGCAGTTAAGTCTGGACGGATTCTTCTTTGTTGAAAAATGTCTTCTTTCATCCAGAAGACTTCTTCAGTCGGCAGCAAGCTCAGCTCCTTATCACAGTGGATCAACCAGTCTGCTGCTGACAGCCAGAACTAGCTAATTCACATTATAATGGAATTACAAAGACTATCAGATTTTTTCTCCATTTATTCATTCATTTAAAACAAAACAAACTCATTAAAAAAAATCATTGAATATAAATAGTGCAGAAAGAAGAAAAATTCTTATATCTGCCGCTTATTAAAAAAACAACAACTACAGACAAACAATTTTCACTTGAACGATCTCCAAATTGCAAACAAACATCAGGCATCCTTCACCTGGTACTAAACATCCCAACAACTTTAACTTAATCATCTTTTTAAACATATTATTGTTGTAGAAATGTTTATGGTGATATCAAGACAATCCATAATCCTGTTCTCTGAACTACAACTCAGCGCCTTCACTAGTTCTAAATGGAGGTTTTACAAACATTTACATTCTCTTAAGGTTATAATGACTCTATTTTTAACACATTTTAATTGAATATTTGGGTATATATTTTTATGAGCTTTATACATGACTTGTAAAAAACTGTATTCAACCAAATCATAAAATGTTAATAATTTTAACTCGTGAAATAATATATTTGTTGGGTGTGGGTCCTACTAAGAATTCTTATAGCTCTTTGTAAAATAAAAATGGGATTTGTAATTGTTTTAATGCTTTTCCTCAAACTTCAATACAATAGATTAAATATGGAACAATCATTACAATATTCAATATATACAAAGTTTTGTCATTCAAAACTTACTTTATTCAGTCATGGTGCCCATGTCCATCAATCACTGTGTGAGGGTCGGGGGACACCCTGGACAGGTCTCCAGTCCATCACAGGGACACCCTGGACAGGTCTCCAGTCCATCACAAGGACACCCTGGACAGGTCTCCAGTCCATCACAGGGACACCCTGGACAGGTCTCCAGTCCATCACAAGGACACCCTGGACAGGTCTCCAGTCCATCACAGGGACACATAGAGACAAACAACCATTCTCTCTCTCACCTAGGGACAATTTAGAGTTACCATCAGTCTAACATGCATGTTTTTGGTCTGTGGGAGGAAACTGGAGCACCCGGAGAAAACCCACACATGCACGGAGAGAACATGCAAACTCTACCCAGAAAGGCCCCTGGACCGGGGTTTGAACCAGGGACCTGCTCGCTGAGAGGCAGCAGCTCTACCAACTGATCCACCGTGCTGCCTGGTATTCAGGTTATTATGTAAAAATTACACTAAAATCAATTTATTTTCAACAAAATGGCCTGATTTTATATTTAACCTTTATTTATACAGGTTAGTCCCACATATAGTTTAAAATGTCTAACTGAGATATTTATGTTAATAATTCCCCAAAATTTGGTGTTTTAGTTCATTAATGTTTTTTTCTTCTAACATGTAAAACTTTTATTATAGTTTTTAATTCAAGTTATCCTTTAGCAAGTTGTAGTGTAGATAGTTGGGGGTTAAATTTAACCTAATGATACAGTATATTATATTTTATTAGTGAGACAGTGTCATTTGTCATAGAAAGAAATGTTTCCATGTTGCAGCATTTATATTATAACAAGTTATAAATTTAAATTCACACCTTGTTTTCATGTGAGTCTTAAAAGACAAATAAATAACCATAACTCTATTGTATTTAAATATAAAGAGCCACATCTTGATTCCTCACAGTTGGAATAAATATTGGAAAATAATTGGCAGCATGACGGTTCAGTGGTTAGCACTGTTGCCTCACAACAAGAAGGTCCTGAGTTCAATTCCCGGTTGGACCTGGGGTCTGTCTGTGTGCAGTTTGCATGTTCTTCTCGTAAATGGTAAATGGACTGTACTTATATAGAGCCATCTGATGCAGACACTCAAAGCTCTTCACAACAATCTGCGCCCCAGTCACACAGCTCTATACTAGATCTCTACAAAGATAACTGAACAAAGTCTGCCTTCAGGCCCAGGCCTCCCTTGCAAAAGAGATCTGTGATCTCAGTGGGATTTGCCTGGTCAAATACATAAAGGTTAATAATAATAATAATAAAGGAGAAAAACGTGTCATCACTTCCTGTCTGATGAAGGCTTTACAGGCCGCAAGCAAAACGAAACAAACAAATTGTACTTTGATAACTAAACATTATATTGGTTGTTTAGAATCACTGCTTCTCTAAATACCTGCTGTGAGTTCATTTGATCATTAAAATAAACACATTTTGTTGCATTAGGATGGTTTAATAAGCAGCGAAATGTGTCTCCATCCATAAATCGACGCAGAGAATAAAAAGGGAACTATCAATAATCATGAAAACTTTGTAACAAATGAAATAGAAAATATATATTTTTTTCTTTTTAGAAATTGTGCTAAATTGCTGCATTGCAGACAGAAGTTGGTTATTTTTAATGCACAGAGTTCAGTAGGAAGAGGAGGTGAGGGAAGAAGAACGTCCTCCTCATCCTCAGTGGTCACCTGCTAATCACAATAAATCCACCTGGACCACTTCTTTTACTGAAAACACCGTCTCAAGGTGATTTTTGTACACGCCTTTGTGGCCTGTTTTTTTAAATAAACTCTAATAAACTCTTTTGCTTCATTAGCTTTTAGGACACACCTTTGAAAAATGCCTGGTTCTGCTAAAGGGTTCTTCCTCATGAGGGAGTTTTTCTTTCCACTGTCGCCTTCATGCTCGCTCAAGATGAGAGTTCTGTGATGGAGTTAAACTCAAAGCTGCTCCTCAGATAAATAATGTTCAATTATTATTTTATACATGAATGTTTCTGTTTA